AATAAAGCTAATAGAATCCTTGGCTTCATATCAAGAAGCATAAATAATAGGAGTCCTCAGGTTGTTCTTCAACCTAAAACATCCTTGGTTAGGCCTCATTTAGATTATGCTGCACAGTTTTGGTCACCTTATTACAGAATGGATAAAAATTTCCCTCTGGAAAATGTACAAAGGAGGATGACAAAGTTGATCCCATGTATCAGAAACCTTCCTATGAGGATAGATAAGGGCCCTGAATCTGCACTCTCTAGAAAGACGTAGAATTAGGGGGGATATGATTGAGGTGTATAAATGGAACAGGAATAAATAAAGGGGATGTAAATAGTGTGCTGAAAATATCTAGCCTAGACAGGACTCGCAGCAATGGTTTTAAGTTGGAAAAATTCAGATTCAGGAAGGATATAGGAAGTACTGGTTTGGTAATAGAGTTTGGGATGAGTGGAACAAACTCCCAAGTACCGTTATAGAGGCCAGAACGTTGTGTAGCTTTAAAAATAGGTTGGATAAATACATGAGTGGATGTGGGTGGGTGTGAGTTGGACCTGATAGCTTGTGCTACCAGGTCGGTTGCCGTGTTCCTCCCTTAAGTCAATGTGACCTGACCTGACTAGGTTGGGTGCATTGGCTTAAGCCGGTAGGAGACTTGGACCTGCCTCGCATGGGCCAGTAGGCCTTCTGCAGTGTTCCTTCGTTCTTATGTTCTTATGTTCTTATGCATCCGTCTTTGGAGAAGCTGGAGGAGATTCATAATCTTTTATATATTGTACCGGTCTGTTTATGTTTGTATTTTCTGTCAATGTATTCTGTCTATTAATAAAGTTCATATAGAATATAAAATATAGGGAGTGATAGAAGAAAAAAATATTCAAACAGTACTTGGAAGAACCTTGAGTTTTCCCTGAGGTACGTTTATTGTCTCCTCTAAGGATGAGAGTCCCCAGTAAAGTTCTAGAAGAAGAACTTGGCATGTATCAGATGTCTAGGCAATCATAATGTGAAGGATTGTCATGCCAAATTGAACAATTGCTATCAATGCAACAAGGAAAAGCACCATATAATTATGTGCAGGGTTGTATGTAATCCTGCCAAGAAACTTCTTCATCGCTATCCCACATAAGAGCATAGAAATTAATGAACACTGCAGAAGGTCTGCTCATAAACTTATCCAATCTCCCTTCCAAGCTACCCAAGATTTTAGACTCTATAACCCCACTCGGTAGATCATCAGATGCAGCATTCTCCATCTGAGCACAGCATTCTGAACCTGACTATAAATACTCGCATACCTTCCACTCCAGGTAGATCGTTTGTGATAATTGAAAAAGTCCACTGTGTGGGTGAAACGTTGTCAATAAAGGATCACATTATACTGCATATGTGTTTATATTTCCATTGTGTCGGTATTTAATACCATTTATTGCCGTAGTGTAGTGTGTCAGTGTGGTGTAGTGTGTCAGTGTGGAGTAGTGTGTCAGTGTGGTGTAGTGTGTCGGCGTGGTGCAGTGCGTCATTGTGGTGTCGTGTGTTAGTGTGGTGTAGCGTGTCAGAGTGGTGTGGCGTGTCTGTGTGGTGTGCCAGTGTGGTGTGTCTGTAGGGTGTGTCTGTGGAGCGTGTCTGTGTGGTGTGTCTATGGGGTGTTTCTTTGGGTGGTGTCTGTGGGTGTGTCTGTGCACTTGCTCTCACTAACTTACCTAGGATTAGATCACAGTGAATTTCAACTACACTATTTTGATAGTGAGAATTAAAGATTCCAGGACAACGAGCTGTGATCCAGCACCAACTACTGACTGTGAACTACATATTCTGTCAGCAGTTTATAAGATATTTTGAATATAACAATTAAAAACCTGGTCTTTCAAAGTGTATCGGGCATTTTCTTCGCCAACTGATGTCATTTACCCGTATTGCAAATTCGTTACCTAATTAATACAGCAGAACTAGCCTGTTATTAACTCGAGTTTACCTGGAGAGAGTTCCGGGGGTCAACGCCCCCTCGGCCCGGTCTGTGACCAGGCCTCCTGGTGGAACAGGACCTGATCAATCAGGCTGTTACTGCTGGTTGCACGCAATCCAACGTACGAGCCACAGCCCGGCTGGTCAGGTACCGACTTTAGGTGCCTGTCCAGTGCCTGCTTGAAGACAGCCAGGGGTCTATTGGTCATCCCCCTTATGTATGCTGGGAGGCAGTTGAACAGTCTTGGGCCCCTGACACTTATTGTGTTGTCTCTTAGCGTGCTAGTGACACCCCTGCTTTTCATTGGGGGGATGTTGCATCGTCTGCCAAGTCTTTTACTTTCGTAGAGAATGATTTTCGTGTGCAAGATTGGTACTAGTCTCTCTAGAATTTTCCAGGTGTATATAATCATGTATCTTTCCCACCTGCGTTCCAGGGAGTACAGGTTCAGGAACTTCAAGCACTCCCAGTAATTGAGGTGTTTTATCTCCATTATGCGTGCCGTGAAGGTTCTCTGTACATTTTCTAGGTCAACAATTTCACCTGCCTTGAAAGGTGCTGTTAGTGTGCAGCAATATTCCAGCCTAGATAGAACACGCGACCTGAAGAGTGTCATCATGGGCTTGGCATTCCTAGTTTTGAAGGTTCTCATTATTCATCCTGTCATTTTTCTAGCAGATGCGATTGATACAATGTTATGGTTCTTGAAGGTGAGATCCTCCGACATGATCACTTCCAGGTCTTTGACGTTAGTTTTTCGCTCTATTGTGTGGCTGGAATTTGTTTTATACTCTGATGATGTTTTAATTTCCTCGTGTTTACCATATCGGAGTAATTCAAATTTCTCATCGTTGAACTTCATATTGTTTTCTGCAGCCCACTGAAAGATTTGGTTGATGTCCACCTGGAGCCTTGCAGTGTCTGCAATGGAAGACACTGTCATGCAGATTTGGGTGTCATCTGCAAAGGAAGACATGGTGCTGTGGCTGACATCCTTGTCTATGTTAGATATGAGGATGAGGAACAAGATGGGAGCGAGTACTGTGCCTTGTGGAATAGAGCTTTTCACCGTAGCCGCCTCAGACTTGATTCTGTTGACTACTACTCTTTGTGTCCTATTTGTGAGGAAATTATAGATCCATCGACCGACTTTTCCTGTTATTCCTTTAGCACGCATTTTGTGCACTATTACGCCATGGTCACACTTGTCGAAGGCTTTTGCAAAGTCTGTATATATTACATCTGCATTCTTTTTGTCTTCTAGTGCATCTAGGACCTTGTCGTAGTGATCCAGTAGTTGGGACAGACTGGAGCGACCTGCTTTAAACCCATGTTGCCCTGGGTTGTGTAATTGATGGGTATCTAGATGGGTGGCGATCTTGCTTCTTAGGACCGTTTCAAAGATTTTTATGATATGGGATGTTAACGCTATCGGTCTGTAGTTCTTTGCTATTGCTTTAGTGCCCCCTTTGTGGAGTGGGGTTATGTCTGTTGTGGGACGACCCCAGTGTCCATGCTCTCTCTTCATAGGGTGTTAAAAGCACGTGATAATGGCTTCTTACAGTTCTTGATGAACACGGAGTTCCATGAGTCTGGCTCTGGGGCAGAGTGCCTGGGCATGTCATTTATCGCCTGTTCGAAGTCATTTGGTGTCAGGATAACATCAGATAGGCTTGTGTTTGCCAAATTCTGTGGCTTTCTCATAAAAAAATAATTTAGATAATCGACTCTCAGTCTGGTTAGTGGCTTGCTAAAAACTGAGTCATATTGGGACTGGAGTAGCTCACTCATTTCCTTGCTGTCATCTGTGTAGGACCCATCTTGTTTAAGTAGGGGCCCAATACTGGATGTTGTTCTCGACTTTGATTTGGCATAAAAGAAATACTTTGGGTTTCTTTCGATTTCATTTATGGCATTTAGTTCTTCTCGCGATTCCTGACTCCTATATGATTCCTTTAGCTTAAGTTCGATGTTTGCTATTTCTCTGACCAGTGTCTCCCTACGCATTGCAGATATATTGGCCTCCTTTAGCTGCTCTGTTATTCTTTTCCGTCGCTTGTAAAGGGAGTGCCTGTCTTTTTCTATTTTACATCTAATCCTCCTTTTTCTTAAAGAAATAAGCCTTGAGCATACATCGAGTGCCACAGAGTTAATGTGTTCTAGGCATAAGTTGGGGTCTGTGTTGCTTAGTGTTTGCTTTTCAGCTGGGAATCTTTAAAAGATACCCAGATATTGCACTAGTGTCTTATTTATGGAAGATATTACCTTAGTCGCAGTATTAGACGGAGTATATCTGCAAGAGGAAGTAACGGGGTGGTTTTGTGAGCTAGTGACTATCTCCTGGAGCAAAGAGGACGAAGATGATTGAGCTCTCCATAAGGCCTGTCATCCAGTCCTTGCTGCGTGCTGGGAGAGGTCGCATCAAGGTTACCTTTACTGGTATCTTCCAGCTGTTCAATGACAACAGAGTGAATACCACATAGAAATTTTGTTTGGCCATGCATGGAAGCAAGTTTTATTTTTACCATAACTGGATTACTAGGGCAGTCAGCTCACACACTGAGGTCTGAGGTTTGATCCCCGGTACGGGGGTGGAAACATTAGGACGTGTATCCTTAAGACACCTGCTGTCCATGTTTACCTGGCAGAAAATAGGTATCTGGGTGTTAGTGGACTGGTGTGGGTCGCATTCTGGAACAAAACTGATCTAATTTGCCTGAAATGCTCAGCATAACAAGCGGCTTTCTGTACAGTAGAATGTCATTGATGTCAGCTAGATCTGTACACCTTGTACATGCACGAAGGAATCATCTCCAATACCAAAAAAAAAAAAAAAAACCCAAAATTGAATATCTTTAGTTACAATTATTTTAAAAAAAATTTAATAATTTTTGGGTCATTCAGTAATATAACCCCCTCTGGCCCCCTTTCCCTCAATAATAGCAAGAAGTGCCACAGTCAAATAAAAACAAGCGTCGGGTTTCCCTGGATGATCCGAGGAAGGTTCAACAGGGAACCGAAAACTCCACTGTGTAACTCGCCTGTAATGTACTTGCTTTGGCATACTAACTAAAATTGGAACAATACAAAAAAAATTTTAGCTCCCCCCTGCGAAGGATGACCCCAAAAAACGTGAAGCTTTCCCCTTTTTTTTTATTGTTCGCACGCCCCGGGCCTGAGCCCGCTGCGCAACCCCCCGTTATTTGGGCTTTTGGCAGTTTACCTGACTAGTGCCCCTAGCGTTGGTTGGGTGGAAGCTTTTTTTTTCTCCAACAGGGCGCAAAAGCAAAAAGAAGAATCAACATGTCTGCTTGAGAGACCGTAGGGTTTCCCCCGGGGATCCAACATGGATTTATTGTTACCGGTCTTCGCGATACCTATGGTATAGCAAAGAGGAGATAAATTGGGGTCGACCCAAGGAACGAAAAACTTTGTTTAAAATGACGTCTGCACGAGTCAAAGAGGAGTGGTCGACAAGTATGGGACCATCAACCCCGGGTTTTTTTGCTGTGTCGGTGCGACCCCCTGTGTTCTCGACACTAACTTGGGCTGAAAATCGGGAATGTGCCTTTTTAGGGGATGATTTTGTATTTGCAGTGAACGCGTAATTATGGAAAGGTTTTAGTAGCCCAGCGGGGGGGGAACTGGACCCTATGCAGGGACGTGGAAGGTACATTACTGTTAAAATGTCTAAACATCCTATTCCTTCATATGTTGTGTTGAAGGAAATACGGACTCAAGTCATGTAAGTAAGCGGGGCAACGACGTACATGTCGCTATGTGGGTCAATGACCCCCATCGCGGCGCGTGTGGAAACCCCAAGTGGGGTTCCCCCACAACAGCAAGGCAAAAGCAAGTGGGCGGGTAGGCGAGAGCGAGAACTGCCCCTTTTCTACCCGCCCCCAAAAACGATTGTCTGGAGTGAAAGGTGGACAAAAAAAAGGATCGAATGCCCTTGAACGAAAAAGGAGAAACTCAGTCTTTGGCATACATCAGTTTTAGAGGAGAGAATACCCAATATGGGTGAAGAAGTGGCGGCGTCTTTGGGAAAAAACGTTGGACGTCTTGTTTTAGAGGAATCCTTCTTTTAGATCATGTGGGAGACCCAGGCTTTGTTTCTGGGGACGGCAGTGAATGAGTGTATGGCATTAGATGACGTTTTTGTGTCGACGAGAGAGTCTAAAGGCTTAAGGAGCATGCAGTAGAAGGTGGAAAGTGCATCAGGACTGTCCTTCATGATGTCCAAATGCAGGTGAGACGGGACACGAAAGAGACTGCGCATCACGATTCTGATGATGTGCTAACTCCTGCCCAAACGCCCTGGGAAAAAAGTCTTGGGTGGTGGCACAGCAAAGAAAAGAAAGGTGAACCCACTGATCAAGGAATTGCAAAGTGATTCCCAACAAAGGGGGAGGGACAAGAGTGATGCGAAACAAACTGGGGTAAAAGTCAATGCTGGGGACAAAAAGGACAACCCAATTTGTGAATTCAACTGTTTTGCTATAAATATTAACGGATTGTAGCTGAGAGAAGCTTAAGTGGTTTAATGAGCATTTGGTGCGACTTGGTGTGATGAGGTTATTCTTACAGGAAACATAATTTTTAAGGCCTGTTTATGATTTGGATATGAGTGGTTCTAAAGTGGTACAAGAAACCAGCGACACTATTGAAAGGTTGGGCTGCCATTTTGGTAAAGGAAACTAGCCCGATCATAGCAAGGCGTAGTGAAGAGGGGAGGTGAGAGTAATTAGAGTGGATGGAACCATGGGTCAGGGTTCCCATTGTTAGTATGTGATATTAAGGCCTGGCTGAGGTGGTGTGAGTAATTAAAACAAAAATTTTGTTTACGTGTTTTAACCGAATAATGCAATAGTAGCGAGATTGGAATTGCGTGATATAGTCGTAAAGATGTGGAGCCTAAGAGTTGCGGGTGTTGTTTGGGTATATTGGGGATTTATTGACCGGGGTAAGGGTTAAAGATGTGTGCGGGGGGGAGGTGGGGAGGGAGGTATAGCAAACCTTCATTAAACGAGTTATGCGCGAGGTGGACCGAAGATGTACGTGCATTGGCAGTTACTGTGGCGAGGGAGAATGTGATAGATGTGTTTTTTTCGTATCATAGAGGAGTGTAACTTGATGTGGATATTGCGGAGTGCCTTGGAGGGTCCATCTTTGGAAATAAATGAAAGGTATTGAAGGAAGAGGATAGTCTTTTGTCTTTTTGGACATATTGGGATCGTTAATTGTTGAAGACCAGGGGATGTTGCCATGTTAATTGGTGGGAGAACGATAGCAAAAAAACGTATTAAGGTAATTTGAAATTAATCTAGGGACGAGATATAATCAGTTAAATACGGTTTCCAAAAATATTTTAGAGGGGCCGTTGCGCGAAAGCTATGCACAAATTAATGCTAATCAAACCTGTTATTGAAATTGAAAGTTTGAAGGAACAAATACGAAATTTACAAAATGAGAGTTTTGGTGGAAAGGCTTAATGGGCGGGATTGAGGAGGTTTTTGTGCGAGATCGCCGTCGGGTGTGTGTGTTGCGGAGTCACACAAAACGACGCAAGGCAAAGAGTTACTGGGGTTGAAATGTTCAGGTAGGTAATGCAAGGGTATAAAGTGATCAGGTGTTGACGACGACTGAGGGTCTGAGTGGATTACTGATGCTTGGTTTTAATTTGAAAACGCCAAATGTGGAATAAGTGAAATAGCATTACAGTCAATTGGAAGGTTTTTGCAGTGAGATGACAGTAGCATATCGATTCGTTTTGGGAGGGCCGATAACGAGTGTGAGACATGGGAAGCTTTATAATCCGTGGCGCAATTATGTAAGGGCACCAAAATTATGGTGTTGCTCAGCGACTTTATCTTCAAAATGGAGGGTTATAATCGGGCTCGGGTCTTAGGGGGCACAGCAAAGGATGGCTGTGGTCGTTCTATGCCTAAAGGTGAGCAATAACAAAGACAAAACTATCGTGCTATTCCGTTATTGTGTGGTGATTTAAGATTTTTGCAAGAAATTTTAGCTAACAAAATTAAAAAGGCCTGGGTAAAGTGATTTGATAAGGGACAAAATGGGGTGCCGGAAGGTCTATGAATGACGGGCATGGTTGATATAGAAGTTTATATTGAAGAAAGAGTAAAATTAGGAGTGGGGGGGGGGTGTTTGGCCTAAAGATTGGGAGGCGCATATGATAGTGTAGAAAGGTAAGCCGTTATGGAAGATTATGAGATGGCAGGGGTTTTGGAAGAGAAATTATATCATTGTGTCCAAATTAATGTAACCAAGATGCATCCTTGCGGGTGCAGGTAAATGGAAGGTTAGGAGAACAAATCAGATGGCAGGGGTCTACGTCAAGGTTGTCCCCTTTCAACAAATATATTTTGCGTGTTTACTACAGGATCCCTTTTATTAGAGGAATAGGTCTTATTTGGCAGACAAATGGGTTGGTGAACGAAAGGGGTGGGGGGCTGGCATTGTGGATATGTTGATGACACAACGATTTTAGTTAGTGTAACCGGGATTTGCCCGGGTGGGAAAATTAGTAAATGAAGTTTTTGAAAAGGGCTTCTGGCATGTCAATTTAATAAGGAGAAAACGAAGTATATTATCTTGGGGATGGTTAATGCTGAATGTGAAGTAGTTGAAAGGTGGAAAAAGGGGACCAATAACTGATATTGGATCGTTTATTGTAAGTGATATCAAGATTAGCACAACAAATAAATTCAGTGCGTATTGTATATGGTGACTGAAGCGCATCAGTGTTTTACGAACAGCACACTTAACTTTGCATCAAAGAGTAATTAAACGAATGTTCTATTATATAGTAAACATTTCATGTACAGCAATATATCCGATACTCCGTAGAGAGATACAAAGGTTACAAAAGCGCCTTTTTTTATTTAGATTCATTCGGGTAACTGGGAACGACTGGGTTAGGTAAGCGGTTGTCACACTACCCGGTTGGCCGAGAGGGCTGGTCCTTATAGCGTTGAAAAGATTATGAGTGTGTATTTGAAACGTAGTTATACGCGGAGGGGGGGGGGCGAGGGAAGGCGGACTTCATAAGATACGTCAGGAAATGCAACGGTGGTGGGTGGGTAGGGAGTTCATAATAGGTGAGCAATGTTACGGGTCATCATAAACATGAGCGATCCTTCACATATTAAATTGGGAAACCTGATGGGGTGGAAGGTAAGGCAGTGGTACAGTGGTAAAGGGGTTTATCCGATGTATGATTGGCGTAATATCTGGGGCGTTTGAACAAATTACGTTTAAAAACCTAAAGTACGAGAAGTTATGTATAGATTTTTACATGGGATCTTACCGTCTGGAATGGTTTTATTCCATAAGAGAATACGGAGGATGGGATATGCAAGGCTTGTGGTGGATGGAACTGTTTTCCATATGGTGTATATTTTGCGAATGTATTGAACTAATAAGGGTTTGGTTGGGTAAGGTAATAAGGTTAGTGGGAGGGGGGGGTTTGCAGGTGTTGAGGTGTTTTAAGCTTAGACATAGTGGGGTGAATCAAATGGTAGAGAATGCGGTAGGGTATATAATTACAGATTATATTTATATGTCTTGGGCTATGAAGGAGCGAACGTGTGTGAAAGAAATAATGCATTAACAGCAACTTTTTATAGACAAAGTGTAGAAATAAGGAGGTGTATGGGGGAGATGGGAGAGGGATTTAAGTGAGGGTTTATAGGAATTTCACTTACGGATTTACGGGAGTGAAAGGCAGGTAGGGGGATGAAATGGGCTGGTTTCCTAGAATGGGCGGTAGCATGATGAGTTTGATGAATGTTATATGAGGTATGTCGGGGTGCAATTTTAACATTATTTGTTCTGAGTGTTTTCAAGTACAATACAGTTATATTTGGAATTGTCGACTTATAACTAGTATTGTATGTGTGTATAGTATATGCATGTGTATGTTGTGTATGTATGTATATGTGTGTATGTGTATGTATTATATATAGTATTATGTATGTATATATGTATATATATTATATATATATGTATATATTATATTATATGTATTATATATATGTATATATGTATATATGTATTATTTTATGTATATACCATAATGTGTTTTTCGTCATGAACTTTATTTCATTAATGTTTCATGACATTATAT